GTTATTAATTATTGTTACATAAACATACTAACGCAACAACAACATTTAGTTACAATAAATGTCATGTTTAATAAACTTCAACTACTACTAGTACTCATCAATAATTGTTACTTAAGTACACTTAATCAACAGTAACATCAAGTTACAATAAGCAACATCATATTTAACATCACTTCTAGTTAGTCTCAGTTACTAATTGAACGTCCACGTCATGCTACAGAAAGAATTAATCCAATGCAAGACATAAAACTTTCTTTTCAATCAAGTTTTGCAATGAATCACGGAGACAAGTGGTGAGGCAACAAAGCGGTTGACAACAAAAAACGGAACGACCATAAGACGTGGAATAAGGAAGAAGACGATCATCGTGGTTCTCGCGCGAGTGTACTTATCAAAACGATACAATTACGCGATGGTTGTCCGTTTTGCATAATGCATATCGGTTCTCAGAGTAATGTTCCGAGCACGCACCGCGGTGGCACTAATTTCCGTGAATCGAACAGCGCCAGGAAGCTTTTCTTGCAGCTACAACAGGATCAACCACGTACTCCCGTCAGTGATTAGTGATGGGACCGATCGTCGAATCATTCGGGACGTCTTTATCCTTCTTTTCACTTACTATCGATGTTATCTCTTTTATTCTTTCAAGCTTCTTTTTAATATTAGTTGATTATAATGGGAATTCTTACATTTTTAGTTTTATGTGTGGAGATGTTTAAATATTTATGTTAGTGGATATCTGGAGGCTTAGGTACTTAGATACTTAGGTAATTAGGTGCTTAGATACTTAGATACTTAGGTAGTTAGATATCAAGGTAATTAGATGCCTAGATACTTGAGTATGTTGGTTTCTGAACATATTAGGTCTCTGAATTCCTAGATTTCTAGATTACTGATTAGTGACTAGATTAATCCTAAAATTTCCACATCTAAATCCTCTAAATCCCTAAATTGTCAAATCCCCAAATCCTTAGAACTCCTAATAGCTATATTCTTAAATACTTATTTCTCCAAACCCCTGTGTGTTCAAGTCACTACATGTCTAGATACCTACTTGTCCAAATCTCTACATCCCCTAATCCACACATTCCTTCCTACACCCCCAAATTCCTTATACTACAAAATCACTACTCCACATCTCTACATCCCCAAGTTGCTACATTCCCAAATACCCACATCCTCAAATCCCTACACCCCCATCTGGCTACATTCTCAAATTCCTACACTCCCAAATACCTATACTCCTTAATCTCTACATCCCCAAATTCTTAGACCTCCAAAACCCTACTTTCCTACATTAGTACACTTTCCACATCTACTACTCTCAAGTCACCTTCTAGCACTCCTAAATTCCTACATCTTCAAATCTCCACAGTCTACTTATTATATACACACTCTACTCGCCATCAGCTCTAGGAATTCAGAGAGATACCTACTCTCCCAGCTTAGAATACAACAATACAACAAAAATTCTTGTATTAACGCATTCCTATTATCTTAACAATACATTTCGCTATATCCTCGAGCCTCCTCGCTATTCACAATCTCAACGATTAAAGGCCCGCGAAATTGTGGATTTCAAGAAGTTTGATTGTTCGACTGCTAATCAACCGATGCCATCACTATCGGTGATGATCAGCGTGCGCGCAGCAGGCGGTCGGCTTCTTTCCCGCAGCTTCTTCCAGGGCGACTCTCGATCCATGTTTCATGAGTTGCTGATGCTCGAACTAGAGAGAGGGCCGACCACGTACAGGCACTTACAAGCCGTGCGGAGGGCAAACCGCTACTCTGAATCACGGGCACCTAGTAGATTCCTTGTAGAAGATCGATGCAATCGCGACACCACGGCGCCTACCGTCTTTTTTGTTCCGCTGATTATTATTGTCTTGATCCAAGGGAGACCGCTGCACTTTGTCCTGCAGCATACGTCAATTTGCTTCGCTTCATTTGCCTGAATATTCGCAGCTGTGATCGGAGACCAGTTGGAGAAGCAAATCGATTAATCAACGTGTGAATCGTACTAATCGAAGTATTTCTTCGGAAGCTAACCTTATGGTCTAACCATTAACCTTCTGGGTAACTGTGCTGTACCTGGTCTTTTCTGACCTGACATTTTTACCATACCTAGACACATTTTTACTAGTAAACATTTTTTCGAAGTCATAGTTATATAAAATTAGATAAGTGTATGTTAGTTTGCGAGGATAAGATTTATTGTGGGGTTTTGAATTTGAATTTGTCATGTTTCAATGTCCACAGGGCTTGAAGGGGTTAATACATGAGTTAGAGGTCAAGTTTAATTTTTTCGTTCATGATCGTTCATAATCATATTCATCTTCACCTAAGTTTACTTGAAACACGAATGAAAGTATAACCGATTTAAAATAACTGAATATGGTGCTGTCTGATTATATCGATTATTATGATCTAAAGACGCAGGAGGTTAAATGAAGTTACAGCCCCCAGCGCAGGAAGCTATCGAGCCTCCACAGTAATAGAAACCTTAACAACTCTTGTCAAATTAGAAGTAGAATACACTAAAGGAGGAAAATTGTACAATTGGTCGAAATGATCCTATTTTCAGGTGGTTTCTGATGGATTCCCATTTTGATTCAGCGATCAGTTTGATTTCCCGCCGACAAAGGGCTGGTCGGGTCGGGATAAGATTAAAAGAGAAATTGGCTCACGAAACGTGCGTGCACGGTTGCAGCAGGCAACGATGAATAATGAACAGGCAGAACATTTGGTCCGGGACGTCGTGCGGGCCGAATTCGTAGAAGAGGATCGTCCCGTACACGCGCCTACTACGAAATACAGGTGTTCATCGGCAATATAATCCCGGGATTTCAGGGAATCGTCGATGAATTCTCTGAAGCCTCCTTTGCGGTGGACGAGAGACGGTTGGCGTGACTTAACGTTCGCCACGTGTCGTATCGCAAACGACCGAACGATCCGAGCTCGTTTGTCCCGAACGATCGGCCATCGATCTGCTTAAGTAACAGACCGTAGATTCTCTCTCGTTATCACCCACTGAGTTCTCGGTAACCGAATCACTTACCATCGACAAAATAAAATGTAATGTACGACATTGCTTGGAAATGTTAAAAGTTTTTTCGATCGTCATGCAACCCGTTACCTTATGCTCCACGTGGACGTCGAGCAAATAATAAACCACATAATATATGTATTAACTTCCTTGAAGTGCTTAAAAAGTACCTTCATATTCACGAAAAATAGAAAATTTATGAATGGTGGAAGCATAAATCAGTACAACTACCTCCAACTTTTGTAAACTCTTCAAGCATACATAGGTACACATATGTGGACATAAGGGGTCACATATGTGGATACTCTCTGTACATCTTCTATGATACATTCAAATTAATTATACAAATTAAATGCTAGTTATAAATGGAATACCCAGTCTTTGTAAAAGTAATGAACGTTCTAATAAATAATCCAGTACATTTTCGATCCTTTTGAACTCCACAGCGAATTCCAGTCTAAACTATTCCGCGATAACAGATATCTGGGAAAAAATGTTGGAACGGAGTTTAACGCTTTATCCATTATGCAGCACTCATCAGTGTATAACGGAACGAACTTATGGCAAATTTTTCCACGCAATTTGGTCGTTTAAATACCGACAGAAAAAGAGCTGTCAATATAATCGGTATCGATGTCGTATCGAGGGAAACGCGGATGAAAAATACGCCTGACAGAATGCCGATGATGCGTCATTACAGCTGGTGCATCCTTCGATTCCCGATACGATGTTCCGACGAGAGAAATTTAAACGAAACACAAAACGGGGTCAGGAACTGATGTTGGTGTAAACACGGGTATGGGGTACGCGCCGACTGGAAACTCGCATTAATCCGTGGCTCGCATGTACTCTGCTCTTTTTTCTTTCTTTCTTTCCTATGTCCGCTATCCGATTTTCGCTTCATTTCTCTCTCGGACACGGTGTAACATCCTGCTATCTATCCCGATGGCACACGGCCAAACAAACAGATCTACGGTTTCACTGGTAACATGGAAATTGTCTATTTCGATATGAATAATGAGCCTGAAGTAATTCTGTTGCGCCTCTGTATCTATGCTTAGAGAAGTGTAATGGTGAGCGATGTATTGCCGCGTTATAGAGCAACATGCTGCACTCTCGATGCTCTGTTGAGTTGTGATGCTATGCGCAGTTCTGACGTGCAGCGATTGTATTGCGCTGTGTTCTGAATGCGTTGTGATCTTTCCGCGCTGTATTTTTAATACGTTTTATTCTCAACGCATTGTAATCTTTCAGCGCTGTATTTTCAATGCGTTGCAATTTTCCCGCGCTGCACTCTCAACGCATTCAAATTTTCCCGCGCTGCACTCTCAACGCGTTGCAATCTCAACGCATTCAAATTTTCCCGCGCTGCACTCTCAACGCGTGTAATCTTCCAGCGCTGTATTTTCAATGCGTTGCAATTTTCCCGCGCTGCACTCTCAACGCATTGTAATCTTCCAGCGCTGTATTTTCAACGCGTTGCAATTTTCCCGCGCTGCACTCTCAACGCATTCAAATTTTCCCGCGCTGCACTCTCAACGCGTTGCAATCTCAACGCATTCAAATTTTCCACACTGCACTCAACGCGTTGTAATCTTCCCACGCTGTAATCTCAACGCATTCAAATTTTTCCGCGCTGTACTCTCAACACGCTGCACTCCCAACGCATTATAATCTTAACAAGCTATAATTTCTGACCATCATGTCCATGTCTCCCATTATCTACCCACTTAGATTATCCTATATTTATTATCAATTTAATTTTCCAAATATTACAATAATTGAATCGTGGCGTCATCTACCAAATTAACAGATAAAATTAAACGATGCTAAAATCACTACCCCCTTTATCTTTTAACTACACAAGTTTATGAAGAGTAACTAAACACATGAAACATGTAAAATTATTAGTTTAAAAATTGAGAAATTATTAATGTATGTGTTTTGTATATATTTTGGAATAGGTAGATAATTATATAAAAGTTTCGAAATATGACACAAGTGACGTGATCGAGGCAGCACAATCGATTTAGCTGCTGCGTCTACCTGTATTTTCTAACCTCCGATGAACGCATGAACGGTGCGCGTGTGAAACAGCTTAGGATATTTCAATTTCACGTTGAGAAAAGGAAATGAGCGATGCCGAACTACAGGAGGAGGAAAGAGAAGTATTACTTTCGATATACGATGGAGATCCTGCTTTTAAACAGCTGACACCGACTACCTTTCAGTATAAGGTTTGTCCTTTGGAATTTTCCACTAAACGTGCACATTATAACGTGTAGTAACTGTTTAATATAAGATTCCCAATTCTAGTTCAAATTTCAGTGTATTTATTTGACGGTTTACAGTATTATATATTATGTATAATGTTATTTTTATATACAGTATGGAGAGGACAATGATGCCAAATCATTTTTGTTGGAGATCTCATGGGGCAAGTCGTATCCCACAGAGAAGCCTACCGTTAACATGAATACCTTTTATAATAAACACATGTAAGTCCAATCATGTTGTTCTGTGACTACTCTTGCATTCTGTTGCTTTTATTAAAGGTGAATGATTGGAATACAGTGTACAAGAAGTAAAAGACAGAGTGGTCAAGCACGTAGATGACGAGATAGAGCAATGGCTGGGAAGTGCCATGACATACACATTGTTTCAGTCTGTCCAAGAACATTATGCTGAATTGGTCTCTGGACAACCAGAGGCTATAGTCGATATCAATACGCAAGTTAATCAGCTTAAAATAACGGAGGAAGGTCAACAGGTAAGAAGTAATTTAAATAGACCTGTAAATTTATTTGATTCATCATAAAAGTAAAACGACTGTCTTATTCGTAGTGCGAAGAAACAACAAAAAAGCCAAAGAAGGAACACTTGACTAAAGCCCAAAAACGTAGACAGTGGAACCGAACGGACGGCAAGGGCGAGAAACCTCGAGGATGGGACTGGGTGGACATAGTAAAACATTTATCACAGACTGGCCCTAAACAAGAACAAGAGTCTTAGTTCAGCTGCTTTGAGATATTTGTACAGGTTAAAGGCGTGTTATATTTTTATAAATTATTGGAAATAAACTGATTTCCATATCGATTTTACTATACTATAATTACCTGTGATAAAAATTTATAAGAAAATATTTATAGATCATTTTATCTCATCGCCAACAGATAGTTACAAGATATGCAAATAAAATTATTCGAATTATAAAATTTTATCGATGATAAATAATACCGAGGAAGGAGCAACAATATTTGAATGTTTAATGCTTTTCGATTTTACCGTATTTTTCTGATTTTTATAAAAATCTCCAGCCTGCTACAGGTAACAGATTATTTTCTGTCATCCATCCTACAATAAATATTTATATAAATAAAGAAGTAAAGAAAACGTTGCTTGGCAAGATTAAAATCATTTACCTTTACTTTCAAGGCCACTAATAAATGCTTTGTATTCACAAGAAATTAACAAGTTCGTAGCGTAAATGCTCTCTATGGATTTCGACGAATGCACACCATTATTTACTGTAGAATACTTTTTGTGAAGTACGTAAAGACGCATTAAAGGATACGACATGTCGCTTACTTCCGGTTTTAAGAAAAGATCCTAAAGAAACACGATCACTATAGAATGTATAAAAAGAAACTTTATATGGTATACTTACAAGTGGCACTCTCAGGGACATACAAATAAATAAGCCACAAAGACAAGCATGAAAATATGCTTCCAAAACATCACAGGGTTGCGCATCTTTTTTAAAACATATAAAAATAGTTTTATTCTGTACATCAATAGAAATCAAATATTTTCTATCTAAGAAAAGTTTTAACGATAGTTCGGTGTCACTCGTTGAAATAATATTATTTTTTATCAGAGCAGCAAGGGACACACCCATTTTTATATTGAATCCATATATACTCATTGCTGAAAAAGGAATTGATCAGAAATAATCGGTAATTATTAGTTTGAAATAAAATATCAAAAAGGAGCTTTACTAGGTTTTGTGAGCAACAGCACTGACTCCTTTTTATTAACTTCTTCTGGTTCAGGAATGACTTCGTTCGTAATATAACTTTTTACTATTAAAGCTAAACGATCTTCGTTTAACGAATTTAAACATAGTGACTTCACAGCCGAGTAATTTGCATATAAGTGTACTATTATCAGGAAGAAATATAGTTCCATTATGTACCTACATACAGATGGCATTATTGAGCTAATTAATAATACTATTCAGAGTTTATATAAAAGTATATACAACAGCTAGATTTAAATAGTTACCGGCCATTATGAAAGATGGAGAGTATTAAAATTCCAACTAAAGATGCTATCAAATTTACACAAGTTTCTTGACTTCCATCTTTAGCCGATACATCTGCCAAATTATTTTGCAATGCCTGTAAACCAGTATGTTATAATTGATGAAAATAAATTTATTTCAGGTTGTACACACCTGATGTTGAGTAACAGCTGCTCTTGTAGCTCCACCAGCAACACCTACAATCGATTTCATTGCTGTGGAAACGCACAATATTGCAAGCGAATAAGAAGAGTAATAAGGTAAGAGTAATTCTAGTCCCATTGCTACATCATTAAGAATGTCAGCAAACAATCTCCATTTTTTGCATTGTCCATCTAAATCTGTCCTAATGAATTAAAATCAAGTTTCACCTTGACGAAGACAAAGCAGAGGAATACAAGCCATCTATAATTTTATTTACCCATTCCACCATGCGAATACAATACGACCAATCATTCCTGTTCCATCTTTAAGAATCCATGTTATCGCTGCTGCTAGTGGAGTTGCTGCTGGTTCACCTACACCTACCCCTTGCATAATGGAATGTGTTGTCAAAGTACCCATGATGGTACTTGCAAATGCCTGAAAACACCAGCTGTTCTAACAACGATTTCATTCATAATTCTACAAATGATTTTTTCTGCTTCCTAACCTGTACAGTGTCCCATATTTGATAAGCAGTGTAATCAGGGTGAACACTATCGGGATATCCTTGAGGTAAAAATACCTCTTTCAGAATCGATACGAAACCAGAATAAAAAGGCTTCGTTCTAGTTGTGTCTGATAACAGTTCGGTTATCGATTGCTCGTCTGAGAATCAAGAATGATAGGTTAGGTAAACTGACAGTGACGTTTGCCACGTCAGGATAACTGTTACCTTTGGATTTGACAATGAACCTCTCTTTCTCGTTCCCGTATACCTCGGTGAACAGCAATCGCTCGTGCATCTTGAAGTGTACCAAGATTACTTTTATTTGATACCAATACACCGCGTGACAACATATGCGCTTTTATTAACGATCATAGTCGCTGTGTTACATCCTCGCGTGATTACACCTGCAATATCGATGCAACGAAATTCCCTAATATTTTATTCAAAGAAATAAACTTACCTCTTCACAGAATTTACCTCAACGAAACTAATAATTTTACGTCCATCAAAAAACGATTATGTATTTATACCATTAATAAATTTCACATTTCTTAAATTTCTTCTTTTTTTTTTCTTTCTTTCAAGTGTTTTATTTTTCCAATTCTTTTTTAGTGTTTTTATCAGGAAAGATTAGTGAAACATCCTCGATTATTTCATTCAATTCAGCGATGCACGCGTCCAATCTTCTTCTCACGTTCTGCGCGTCAATTTTTGCACTTTTGTACAAATTTATTCTGAGCACTTTATCATTGAAATCAAAAAGTCCACGATTCCCGCGAAATTCTGCACCACCGCCCAAACGACCCGGTCTTTTCATATTTTTCTCCAGTTTATTTTCTGAAAACTTTTCGAACGAGTTTATCATTTCTTTTTCTATCTTTGGCTCGATTTTAATCGACGCATTTTCCTCACGATTGTCCAGACGGGGGTCAAAAGTCACGTGAACATTTGCTTTCGAAATTTTCCTTCTTTTACGTTGTTTTAGGGAATCATTGACATTCTTCTCTATTTTAAAACAATTCAGGGAAAGTCGTTTTTTTCTGCGTTCCATGATCCGATCACACTGAACCCCCTTGGAAATTTTCTTTCTCCTTATTTTTCGTGAATTTTCAACCCCCTCATGATTTTGCCGACTGTTCGTTTGCGATGTTTTATCGGATGGATTTTCATTTTTGTTCACTTCATTAATTTTGTTCTCTATTGGATCACTTTTGATAGATTTATCATGTTTCACGTTAGTATCGAGTTTCTTTTTGCGGGTAACATCAGGCTTTTTAAACAATTTCTTCTTGTCGCTGACACTGTTAAGTGCACTAACTTCGTTTCGTAATCGGAGGATTTTCGAGTTTAAAATAGTTATGGTATTTATGATGTCGTTCAGGTTTGTTAAATCATTTTGTTTCCTGCAGTAACAACGATCCGTTTGATTCGCTTCGGACATGTCTATTTAATATGATCGACTTCCACATTATTTAAATTATGGGTTATGCGGTGTAACATCATGAAGTAGCATTGATATCGATTCATCTGTTCACAAAACCAAATTCCATAGAAAAATTGTGAAATTTTTAAACTCGAGAAAGATGTCGCACGAAACACGGTATGTCTGAGAGATACGTGAAAGATATTTTAGAAAAGTTGGAAGAAATCGAGAAACTGCACTCGAAACTTCGGACCTTGGTGCCTCGAGTGAGAAATCAAGAAACTCAAAATAATGTTTCAACCAGTGCTAATCTCACGGAATGTAAGAACGAAATTATAGATGAAAAGAATTCGAAACCAGAAGCGTTTAGAAATCTTCGTAAACCTTCTAAAGCGAACGTCAGAAAATTGTTTACGTTTGGTCGCGACGGGAACTCCACGAAAAATCCAAAAGACAATAAATGGAGAAGAGTGAAGAGCAACTCGGTGGATTTCGCTAGGAAACATTGGCACGACAAGAAAGATAAAATCAAGAACTTATTGTCCACCATTATTGAACGCGATATCATACTAGGTAAAATGTTCGAACACAGATTAATATAATTGTTACAATTTTTATTTCATTTTTATAACAATTTTCATTTCATTTTTATTAAAATTTTAATTATATTTTTATCAAAATTTTTATTTCATTTTTATTAAAATTTTCATTGTATTTCTATAAAAATTTTCATTACATTTTTACAAAAATTTTCAGTGAACCGAGCCGCTCAGACGTCAGGCAACGAATTCGTCACGAATCCGCACATAAACGAGGAGAAAACAGAATTTGCATCAAAGTCTGACCAACCTAAAAAGAGAAAACGCTCCGTGCAAGATCAATTAGAGCGATTACTAGAGCATTTTAATTACTCTCGCGATGCTGATGTTGCAAACGAAAACAGAGTATCGACGCATCGTCATAGTTTAGGCAAGGATGACCCACGGAGGGCAGAAAAACTTTTATCGTTTCCGGATGAGGAGAGTGAGACACTGAGGATCGTTTCATCCGCTGAGAGAGTTTCTATTAGCAACAACAAGAAGATCTCATAAATTTTTGTACTATATCGATAACTCAGTGCATAACCATGTTAAGAACAAATACTCTTTATAATATACAGAAATTTAATATCTACTTTATTATTTTTAGTAGATTTATAAATTTGCTTCTTATTATTTTTGATGGATTTATAAATAATATATTTAGATAATATTTATATTTGTTTGTAAATCTGTTAAAAATTACTGTTCATTGTAAGAATTTAAATCAATTCTGACTGCATAAATAATGTTGCATGTTCTTATATTTCTGAATATTTTAAGTCATAGCTAATATAAGAATAAATAAAATGTGACACTATGCACCGAGGCATCGATACTCGATATTGTTCAAAAACTATATCAGATGTCTGAAATATCTGAGGCTGCAGTACAACGCCATCTGAAACCAGTTTGAGAACAAACGTTGCCCATGGGGCTGTTCTTCGAGGTGGCTGGACAGGAAGGAAATGTTTGAAAGAAACCTTAGAGCGCGTGGGCTGGTCGATGAGACCGGAAAGGCGAGTTCCACCGGAAGTCACGCAGGCTCAAACGTAACATTACGATCACGAGTAAATCCTCCGATCGTGCTTCGTTTAATTTCTAATTTCCCATTGAACCTTCAGATACACTGAAGACTTGCTAATCCGGCTTTCATGAATTAAAACTCGATAGAAACATTTCATTCATTCGATTTCTGTTTTATATTTTATAGTTGTCATGTTGTTTTTAAAACCACTTAATCCACCGAAGAATGTCTTCATGTAGGAAATAAACGGAGCTGCATCTCAAACAGTGTTTATAATATTTTTATGAATTTGTAAATTTTATTGTATATATAGTATGCTGTTATAAATTTATAAATTTGATTATGTATACAGTGTAGATTTTTAAATATGTAAATTTTGTTGTATGCATAGGATTCATTTATGAGTTTATAAATTTTATTATATGTGTAGGGTACATTTGTTAATTTATAAATTTTATTATACGTACAGCATACATTTGTAAATGTGTAAATTTTATTATATGTACAGTATACATTCACAAATTTATAAATCTTATACACACAGTAATATTAAGATGACCTTGCAAGAATGAAGCAAGAAAAAAAGTTTCATCAAGAATCCTATTTATATTTTGTCAAACATACAATTATATCCTGAACGAATAGAAAGGAGAGTAGTTACAGAGAGTTTCTATTTAAATTGCAAATACAATTTTTATAATCACAATTTCACCTGAAATACAAAAAACCGTGTCCAATCTCAATGACGATCGCGAGTATTGTGACGAGTTATATCGAAAGCTATTAAAGAACCAAGAGAAAAACGAGAGCCGCGATTTTCCACGACGTAAAAAAGTGGAACTCTGACTTGCGTATCTAGCGTCTTTATTTGCGACGATGAGCAATACATTTGCGATGTGTTTAACGGGGTTTTCTTAAGCAAAAAAGGAAATACGGTTAAGAAAGACCTTCGCAAGAATTCTTCGACAATTTTTCTCTTCATTTATCTTTAACGAGTTCTTACATCGTTAGATCTCTGCGTTAAAGATTTCTGAATTTGCAAATTCTAAAATATTGGTAGTATATGTTATGATCGAGGTTATCCACCGACGCATTTTCATATATTTGCAATAAATTAGGGTATTTATATGGGGAGATAAAGTTTCGATGCAGCCTCGACAAACCTACCCTTGATTCATGAATATTTTAATAAAATGTGATAATTAAATTTTTTGGGTAATATGAACAAGATATATGTAACATAAGATTATAGTACAAAGATGTATATGATGCAAGATATGTATAATGCAAGGTATACATATGTGTGTAATACAAGGTACATACAATAATGCAAGATATACATATATGTATAATGAAAGATACATATAACACAAGATTATAATACAAGATACATGTAATGCAAGATATACACATATGTATAATACAAGCTACATATAACACTAGATATATATAACACAAGATTATAATACATGATATACATAATACATAATAAACATAATACATGATATACATAATACATAATACACATAATACATAATATATATAACACATGATATAACATAAGATATAAGAGTAATGTACGTGGACCATAATTTATAATAGGTTGACAGGTGAAACACCTCCAAGTAAGTAGAAAATCCGAAGCACCGCGTCCTAAAAGGCAAAACCAGCGGAATTCCACGGATGTCGACATGGCGTTATCAATCTAACCACCCCGTTCGTTGACGGTGTTGCGGCACACCGTGTGGAATAGGGCCACCACGTTGTTATGCTACTTGCGACTCCATGGTGTACAGGAATAGCTTGAAAGGCCGTAGCCCCACCTCTGCGTCCCACGTGCGTGTATGCAGCTCGCCATATTTTCCTGCATGCAAGAAGAATGCACACGCAAGTGCAACACCATCGAACCAAGTCGTTGACTGGAAAACGAGCACATGGGGCTGTAGACGAAGGAGTGCGAGGGGTATGGGGAATAGTGGCTGCCAGCTCCGTAAGCTCGTTTATTCGCACTTTTACCCGGTTCGCTAAAGTGCGCTCGTGTTTATAGTACGTTCGTTGTTTCCAACCTTTGTACCACCCTCGCTTGTGGTACGAACGTTTTGGGAAAACGGATGTTGATGGTTGAGGTCTTTTGTAACGTTTGGTTGATTGATGGTATTCTAGGATTCTATGTATTCTAGGTGGAGATTTTTTATATTTTTTGTTGGTGATAGAAGGAAGAGAACTGTGAAATTCTCAAAGAGTGAAAATTTCAAATTTTCATTCTTTCAAATTTACAGAAATGTATTTAACTTCTTACAGCTTCACATTTGTAGAATTCTTACAACTTCACATCTGAAATTTTAGATCTGCAAATTCCTAAGTTCCGAAATTACTGTATGCCCATATCTCTCTCCCCAAGTTCCTACATCCCCAAATTTCGACGTATGCAAACTTCTACGTTCCCAAATTCCTATATCATCAAATTCTATACTCCCAAATTTCTATAGACCTAAATCTCTCTCTCCAAATCCTCTAATCCCAAACTCCTATTTCTTGAAATCTACTGTCCCTAAATCCCTCAATGCTCAAATGGTATCTGCAAATCCCAACATCCCCAAATCCACATATACCTTCAATTATGACCCAAAACCCTGTTCCCAAATCTTGCTATCTGAAATCTCTATAATACTAAACTTGACACAACCCTAATCTCGATATCCTCATCCCTTATTTTTCCAGATCTACATCCCCAAATCCCTCTATCCCTAAATTATACCCTAAACTATCCCACATATACCCTAAATTCCCTCCCACATTCCTATGTCCTATGAAATCCCAATAATCCTTGAAAATAAACCTCGTAAAATTTCTATAAAAACGTAGAAGATTGATTAAAAGTTCCATCACGTGACCGTAGTCGCACGGAATCGTCTCTTCCTTTCCATCGTCTTTTCCCCACTAGTGTTCCACGAGTTTTGTAATGCCTCTCTGTCTCTGGCACTTCCTGTGTTCCGCCACCGTTCACCTGTGTCTGGGCACCTGCCTTCATATAACTATCTAGGTGTACACAGTGTATAGAGGAGGTAAAGTCCTATGGGACTTCAGTTTCCCCGGCTACGTTGTGTGTGCAGCCTGCCGGCACACACCTTCCACCACCTGGAAACACGCCGGCCATGCAGTCGATGTTACGCTGTCGCTCACCACGGCCGGACTATCGGGCTTTTCCTCTCGCTGATAAGAACAACCTCGCTTAGAACCGTGGATCCTGTAACCGGCTCGTTTAGTTCCTTCTGCGACCTCCTCGTAACTGGTTCCCGCACGACTTCTCTTCGGCTACCGCTTCGATCAAGGTTCGAATTTGCACGACTTTTCTTAGATTTTATTGCCACGCGTATGGTTCTTCTATTCGGAAACCGTTTCGGGGAGCAGGTACCAGAAATACCGTTGGGTCTTTTGTGATTCAACCCTTAAGTACCTGGTTCCGGCTCTTTTAACGAGGTTGAAATTTTGTTCGGTGTTTATGGTGGTTTTGTGGATGGACTTTTATTAGTTTTGAACGAGGATTAGTATTTTATAAGTGTTATAGATATGGAGGTTGTTTTGAATTTTAACTTGTGCTTTTATAGGAACTGTGATTTATGAGTTTGCTGTATTTAATGATTTTTATTGTTTCTTTGATGAAAACACTGTTACTTCTTTCAACAAAATTATTGTTGTAATTATTGGTTCGTGAAGTACTTATTTGGCAAAAATTATTAGAAATTTGTTTACAATAATTTGTTCACTTTATTTGTCAAAACGAGGATCATTGAAAGCAGAAATTTAACCAAACATAACTTTTCGATTTACAATGTTACATATTTTTTGTACAATTACAACAACTTTGCATCAATTCTCACATCCACTGTTTTTTACAAAAGAACCTTCTTTACAAATTGAAATTTAAAAATTATCAAAATAATAAACTTGAACTTTTTACTTTTCATACTTGAAAAAGAAGCCAGCGAAATATTCGAGCAAGGATATCGTGGAAGCTGGAAATTCTTGGTTCCGGTGGATCGAGTGCGTTGAACGTTTCCTGCCATTTTACGAGCGGAGTTCTCCAAAATGAAGGATTAGTGTATTCTCGAAGAAACGTGGAAAGTGACTTCGTGCAACAAACTTGTTCGCGTGGCGTCGAATTTTATCGCCGGTTTTAGTGCTTTAGAATGTCATCAGACCTTCATTGTCGGTAAGTAAACGCACAGGAGAATTCGGTCTTTTAACGAGCTAACTTAAAATAGAAGCTTAAGTGCACCAATGTTCATTTGTTCGAGTTTTGGTTTCCGTTAATGCTAGCATTAAGTATTATAAAAGTTTATTAGCGGTGGTATCGATAAAGTATTCAAGATCGATGCCTATGGAAATCCCAGGGTCGCCATTTGAAAAGCAAATTTCGGATATTGTTAGTCAAGCCAGGTAGAAAAGTCTATTGAGACAATAGGCTCGTTCCTTTCATAGGTGTAATGGCGTCCCTTAGGCGTGAACGCACGTGTTCAGGACGCGTTCCAAGTTCGAGCAATTTCCGACGTGATTCGCTTCTATTTTACCTTTACTTTCTTGTTGGCTGATACTTTATTTTCGGATA